GGGGGGGGGGCGTATGGCGCCTTACTATACAGAAACCAAGTTGTCGAGCTGCGTGGTCCGAAGAACCCTTGTTGCTCTTGCGAGGCTTTGTGTATATATATATATATATATATGTATAATGTCATATACATAATATTATATATATATATATACACATGTACGCATTACTCAGAGTTGAGACCCCTTTGCTTCACGCTTAGGCTCCTAGACCATCAATCAAATCGAGCTCAAACCCTTGTCTAATGATCACAGCTTCTATGTGATCTTCTAGAGCACCGATGATCCGGCCTCTATGTTCGACCGCCAAACATAGACCATAGAAGCCTCATGATACACATGGAATGGACATCCTGAACCTGTCTTCCCGAACTCCGAAGCCCCAACCTTAAACACAGGCCCTTCACCCATGATCGTGAAACTCCACAGCCTCGATCCCAATCAAAACATGACCCAACGAACCTTTGGAGAACGCTTTCAAGGACCCTTTTGAAAGAGCGAGGTCGGGATGCCACGCACTCTTTCACCGTGACCTGCGCCGTGCTTTCGGGACAGTCGCCCTTCTCGCAAAGCCTCGGTCGGCACGTGTTCTTTGGAAGTTTAGGGATATGTTGAGGGAATGCTTCCTTCAGAGCTGCAGAACCCTCATCGAAACCCTGATAGAACCCCAATAGAACCCTATACTGAAACTCTTTCAAGAACAATTGGCAGCCTACAAAGCTTACGCAGGAGGACCTGCATCACCGCTCTACACCCGAGAATCACCAAGTTCCGAGCATCGGGTCCTGTCTACCATAACCGAAACAGTTGTATACTTTGCCTTGCAACACAACGTCAAGGTCGCAATGGTATAAATGCTGGAGCCTACCCACCCATATTGCCATACGACTTCTGTACAGTGTGTGCTCGTCATTTGTGTTTATTTTTTCATTTCTGCCGACAGCTCCTTCTTGATTCCTGATGATTTGGTGTCGTCTTTCTCTGGCTCACTCGCTCACTCTATCTCTCTCCCTCTCTCTCTGTCCCCTCTCTCTGTCTGTCTTTTCTCTCTCGCTCACTCTCTCTCTCTCTCTCCCTCTCTCTCTCTCTCTCTCTCGCACTCCATGCAGCATGTATCTATGTGAAGCACATCATGCTCTCAGACACCGTTCACAATATTTAGGCCGGCCATAAGACGAAACAGAAGCGCAATGCCGCCAGCGTGCTTTTCGTTCACCTCGAACTCCGTCGATTCCGACGCAGGATCCATGAGCTGCTTTTCTCCCAGCCGGCGGGTGATGTTGATGACCTGGAAACTTGGCTTAGAACCTGAACTGTAATGCCCGGCGGTTGAAAAACCTGCTGCATGGTTCCCATGATCATGTACACACAAGCTAACTTGCCAACCAGACAAAAGTACTGTGTGTGGGTAGGGGTTTGTGTTGTCAACGTTTAAGGGGCATGGAACTATATGGGAGTACCTGGGCAGTATGACCGGGAGCTTGATACAAATCAATTAAACTGCTCGATTAAGGGCTGCGACTGATGAGCTTCGGAGTTTGGTTATGTTCGCCCCTACTTGACCCATTGGCGATGTAGGTCAGGGAGAAATCGTCTAGACGACTGCAGTGGCTGCCAAAGCATGAATCGCATTCTCAGACGACTTCGTGTCGGTTGAGAGGGGTGAATCACGAGTTACCGTACTTCCTTCTCAGTTCCCACTGCTTCTTCGTGAAAACTCTCTCTCTCTCTCTCTCTCTCTTTCTCTCTCTCTCGGATGCACTACGGTCACTACGGTAGGTTGAATGTGGCTGGGCTGCCTAAAGTACCAACGGCACCCAACCAGAGAGCTTATGATGGTACGTACCCATATAATATGAAGATATATAGTACATGAACAAATTCGAGCCTTCAGCCCTAAAGCCCTAAAAACCCCAAACCCACTAAACTCATACGACCCCACAGCACACCCTAAACCCTAAACCCTAAACCCAGCTCTCCGGACACTCTGAGCGGGCAAAAAGCATCATCGAAAGAACGCGAGGCCTGAAGTCCAGGGCTTTACAAGATCTTGTTAAGGGGTCTACAATGGTGTCACTAAAGCTTTCTCAGGGGAACATTAGGGGCCCAAATAATCAACACATCCGCGTGGGGGTGTTGAATAAAAGTAGAGCTTATCATTCATTATTCAGACCCCTACGAACCAGGCATTCTCCTACTCAAAGAGAGCCAGGCGTTAAACATCCCCAATAGTCTTATGTCTCGCTTTCTGCATCGCGTGACTTTCTCAGTTTTGCCATTGCTGCCACGATGCAGACACATGAGCCGGTGAAAACTCAACTGCCCCACCGAGATTTACAAGAATCCTCAACTCCTAAGCGGCTTATATAGGGCTTAAGTTTTTGAGGGCCATCCCAAACAAGCAGTTGTCTTGTTGTGTCGCTCTGTGTCGCTGCAACTTCCCCGACCGGTGCCTTGCCGGTCATACTCAAGATCTTCGCAGTGGCTTTCCTGCGCCAACATGACAGCAAGACGTCTCAAAGCCATGGCGGTGGGGATTGGGAATCTCTGTTTCGGGGGCGTTGCAACTGTAAGCGTCTCTTTGCGGCTTGCAACTGAGGGGTCGGGCCGCTCATGCTTATGTAGAGGGGCTCCACTCGTCCCTAAACCACAACCCTAAACCCCAAACCCTTAGATCCTAAACCCCAAAACTCTAAACCCTCAACCCTAAACCCCCTAAAGCCCTAAAGCCCTAAACCCCTAAACCCTAAAGCCCCTAAACCCCTAAACCCCTAACTCTTAACCCCTAAACCCCTAAACCCTACAACCCCTAAACCCTAAACCCTACAGTACTCCCCCTATCCGAACCCGAAAGGAAAGGAGACTTGCGGCTCCAATCTCGTCTCACCACGGCCGTAAATCCCCCATCCTAAGACCTTCAAATCGCATCGGTTTAGGGTTTAGGGTTTAGGGTTTAGGGTTTAGGGTTTAGGGTTTAGGGTTTAGGGTTTAGGGTTTAGGGCTTAGGGCTTAGGGTTTAGGGTTTAGGGTGAACTTGAACCTTCAAAGCCCTAATCCTAAAACATTGTCATACCACGTTTAAAGGAACCTTGAAAGGAGTCCTTAAAGGAACCCTGTTGTCTTGAACTGATTCACGCCCCTAAGGCTCTGAATCCCACCTAGAACGCTTGTGAAAACCCTGAAGGGATCCTTAAAGGAGGTCCAAAACCCCAAAGCCCCTAAACCCCAAAATCCTTATGGAACTCTTAAAGGAGCCCTTTGAAGGAGCCCCAAAACCCCTAAACCCTAAAACCCTCATGGCACTCTTAAAGGAGCCCTTTAAAGGAATCCCTTCTTCGGCGCAGGGCGCGTCGGATGCTCATCGAAGGAGCTGGCGTGGCGGCTTGGCCGCGGTGCCGCCTCCAAGAACGGAATCTTACACTATGACTCCTAGGGCTCTTAGGGGTTTAGGGTTTAGGGGCTTAGGGTTTAGGCTGTACTCTTGATGATATAAATCCTGCATTACCTTAAGGACCCTAAACTATGGGAATTATGGTACATTCCTTATTATTCTTGGTAATGTAGGATTTGTATCATCAACCGTATGGCTCGTAGAGGTTTAAGGTTTAGGCTGTAAGGGGTTTATCTAAGTCTCAAAGTATACTAGATTTTGTTGAAGAGCTTCTCAAAATGCACGTGGCCTCGCTGAGACCGCCACAAGGCTTACGAGGTCTCTTGCTGCAGCACTGTGAGGCTTTAGGGATTGACCCTCGGCCCTAACGGTTTAGAGTGTAGGGTTTAGGGGTTTAGGAGTTTAAGGGTTTAGGGTTTATATAGGGTCTAAGCACTAAGCCCTCAAGCCTAACCCAAAACAGACCTGAAGCCCAAAATACCCTAAACCCTGAACCCTAAACTCTAAACCCTAAACCCTAAACCCCAAATCCTAAACCCCAAACCCTAAACCCTAAACCTTTTAAAATCCCAAGGGGGCGCCTCGAGGAAGCCGGCATAAGAGGCCAGCTTGCCCCCCTTCACAGCTCCGGGTGCAAAGGCCGGGAAGAAGGCAGCTTCCTCCCCAGGGCTTTAGGGGGTTTAGGGTTTAGGGGTTTAGGGGTTTAAGGTTTAGGGTTTAGGGGTTAGGGGGTTTAGGGTTTAGGGCTTAAAGGGTTAAGGGGTTTAGGGTTTAGGGTTTAAGGGGTTTAGGGTTTAGGGTTTAGGGTTTGAGGTTTAGGGTTTAGGGTTTCGAGTTTAGGGCTCAAGGTTTAGGGGTTTCGGGCGTATAGAGTTTGAAGTTTGGACTTGGGCGGAGGGTAGGGTTCGGGGTTGGTGTATGGAGTTCAGGGCTTCGAAAACCTTACGTTTCTGATGTGGCGACAACCTGAGGATCCTAGGTCCTAAGCCCTAGTGAAAGCTTACAGCCCGATAAACATATTTTACCACACAACCCAGCCTTTGCGAGATGGTTCAGGATGGGGTCGGGGTGTGGTTTAGGGTTTAGGGTTTGCTTAGAATCCTATTAGGTAATCACTGCTATGGGGCCTATGGGTAGACTAGACTTCTGTTCGTTTCATGTTCCTTGGGGAATTACTTGGGAGAGGAAATGTCAGTTGCTGAGGGCCTTCTTTTCGATGGAAATGCAGGGCTTTAGGATTCGAGGCGTGTGTTCTTTTGGACATTAGGTATCGAGTCTACTTGGAGGATCATGGGACTCAGTAAGTAGTAAGGTTATAAGTCCCCTAATTGGGGTTATAAGTATAGTTACCTTAATTAGCCCTACTTACTAAGTCCCATGATCCTTTAAGTAGTGTCTAGGAAGTTTGGGGATGAAGATTGCTGCAGGATCCTTTTTGAGATGAATCCGTGCGACAGGAAGCTCATGCATCGAAGTGCTTCTATCCCCCTAAACCCTCAACCCACCCTAAACCCTAAACCCCTGAAGCCCTAAACCCTAAACCCTAATAAACCCTGATCAGCTTGTCTGACTCCGCCTTTTGCAGAGTACTTGGCGTGTCTAAGACCCGCAGAAGGATCCCCACAGCCCATCCTACGAACCACCCCGCCCCTGAGCCCTAAACCCTGAACCCTGAACCCTGAACCCTAAACCCTGAAACCTGGACCCTAAATCCTAAATCCTTAACCCTCAACCCTAAACCCTACACCGCGCAGGGGCAGGGATCGGGAGTTGGGTCGAAGCTTTTGGGTGTGGGAATGCCCTTCGCAGGCTCTGGACAGCCTCGCAGCCTTCTACAACAAGGCCGACAGGAAAAGTTAGGGTTTAGGGTTTAGGGTTTAGGGTTTAGGATTTAGGGTTTAGGGTTTAGGGTTTAGGGTTTAGGGTTTAGGGTTTAGGGTTTAGGTTTAGGGTTTAGGTTTTGGGTTTAGGGTTACGTGGTTCTGACTTTTGTCTCTATCTTTTCAAGCATGTGATTGAAGAGCGTTTGATCTCACTCGGGGGAACTTCGGTATAGTAGCCATTGAGCACCTCGAGCGCAGCCTCAAGATCGTGTAATCACAACGTGTTCCCGAAGGCTCACAACATCGAAATCGAAAAGCTCAAGATCACATCTTTTTTTCTCTAGAGCCCCTAAACCCTAAACCCTAAACCCTGAACCCCTAACCCCTAAACCCTAAAGCCCTAAATCCCAAAACCCCTAAACCCCAAACCCCCGAACCCCAAGCCCTAAACCCCTAAACCCCGTACCGTAAGCCCCAATACCCCGACTCCCTCAAGCCTACCTTAAGGACGAAATGACCCTTAAAAGTAGGAGCCGTATACCCTTATACTATGACTCCCTATATGGTATATGAACCTGAAACCCTTTTAGGGTTCATTTCGTCCGTAAGGTAAGCGGAGGGCTGTTCCATACAGATGGTTTGTCTTGGGATCCTTCTACCTCAACCGGGTTTAGGTTTTAGGGTTCAGGTTTTAGGTTGGTTGGTTGTTTGGTTTAGGGTTCGGGGTTTCGGGTTCAGGGTTTAGGGTTTAGGGTTTAGGGTCTAGGGTTCAGGGTTTAGGGTTTAGGGTTTCGGGTCAACCCTAAACACACTCTCCTAAGGCCGTAAAGTCAATTGCAGCCGCCCCAGCCCCAGCCGCAGCCCCGCACCTTCCAACAAACAAATCTTTCGCTCAAAGTTTTCCCTCACTTTCGGTCAAAACTTAGGCACCCAAACCCTTAACAATGTCTATTAACCCCTTAAACCCGCAAATCCACAAAAAAACGGTTCAAGCTAGGCCGGGGCCGAAAGCGGTTCTTTCTTGCAGAAGGCCAAAGCGAATCCAGAGGCCTTTCTGGGGGTTTAGGGACTTGAGATTATTAACTTTAGGGTTGTGGATTTGGGGTTTGGGATGCTTTAATTTTAGGGGGTTTAAGAAAGTTTAGGGTTTAGGGATTTAGGGATTAGGGTTTGGGGTTTAGGGGTTAGGAGTTTAGGGGGGTTTAGGATCTAGGGGCAGCCTTCACTCGGGTTAAGGCACTGGGGAGGTGGACTTTGAGCAGTCTCATTCGGGGGTCCTTTGTATAAAGGTGGGTGGTTGTCAAAATTATGGTCCCTTTTTGGGTCCTTATTATAATACGGCACCTATTATTTAGGGTCCCCCAAAAAGGGACCCTAATTTTGACAGCCACCTAGGTGTTTCTTTGATTTTGGAAGTTTTCGAAACAAGGGGTACCTCATTTTGAGGTCCTTTTGGTAAGGATCCTATTATATAGGGTACTAAAGAACAAGTCCCCTATGCTCGGAAACCCCATATGTGTTAGGGTTCAACATCACATTTGGGGTTTCCGGGCCTGTCAGCCTTTCGGGGAGTTTTGTTTCGGAGACGAGATGCAAATAGTTCAGGTTTACACACGACATTGTGGAGGTTACTGCCTTCCTATCGAGAGGCGTCCTGCAGAGCCTCACTTCCCGAAGTCGGTCCCGGGGATTGCGGGTTTATGTGCGTGTCTGTGCGTCCCCTAAACCTCCTCTAAACCTCCTAAACCCCTAACCCCTAAACCCCGAACCCCCAACCCCTAAACCCTAAACCCCTAACCCCTAACCCCTAACCCCTAACCCCTAACCCCTAAACCCCTAAGCCCCAAACCCCAAACCACAAACCCTAAACCCCTAAACCCCTAAACCCCTAAACCCCTAAACCCCTAAACCCTAAACCCCTACAACCCTAAACCGTCGAGGAGCCGGAGACCTTCCGAAGCTACCAAAAGAGCTCCAGCACCCCGGCTTTTAGGGGTCAGGGCTTAGGGCTTGGATGGCCTTGAGACGGAAGTCCCAGCAGTGCACTGCTGTATCCGGTTCTTCTTGTTGTTGTTGTTTTAGGGTTTAGGTTTGGAGGTTGAGGTTGAGGGTTTAGGGTTTAGGTTTTGAGGTTGAGGGTTTAGGGTTTAAGGTTTAGGTTTTGAGGTCTGGGGCGAGGCTTAAGGTTGAGGGTTTAAGGTTTAGGTTTTGAGGTTTGGGGCTTTAGATTTTCTGGATCAGTACATAGGGAGTTCCTTTGTGAAGAGCTGCTGGGAACCTCGTGGAATCGTTCGCGGGAATACTGGAGCACCCATGACAGGCCAACCCGCGCCCCATGTGTGCAGAAACCCTGAACCCTAAACCCCAAACCCAAAACCCCCAACCCAAAAGCCCCAAACCCCAAACCCTAA